ATATATATATATATCTCCAAAGGAAAAAGTCAGAGGAGTAGGGAATTCATTTCGGAAAAGGGTGAAAACTGAAAATACAAAAAAAACAGGAAAAGCAATTATTCCATCTAAAGATAAATGACTAAAGAAGGAAAGAGAAGAGTAGCAAAGAATAGCTTCATAGTTCAGAATTCATTCTTAAAAGTACCCTATTCTGACTTTACGACTGGCTAGGTTCCGGGTCCGGAACTCGGGGGGGAAAAAAAAAAGCATCAGGTTAGGCTGGATCAAGGAACAAGCTGGCTATGGGGGTTGGTGGAAGCGCTTAGAGAGACAACAACTGAGCAGAATGATCCGTGGGCGATCTAAGATTCCACGTGGGTTCGGGGAGACTGCAGCGAATCCCTCACACCCACCCAAGGGGGAGCTTTGGAGACCCTACTAGCCTATGGGGTGTGAGGGCAAGAGAACTAGAGGATCAAGGACCAGCAAGACCTGACAGAGACCCCCGTGGGGCGCAAGTAACGAAGACACCCGGGTCAACGACTGTGCTGCCGGGGTCCTGGAGCGCCCTTCGCAGTGCCCGAACTCACCGATGCCCAGTCCCACGACCAGGCGGCCGGCGAGCAGCGTCTCCTTGTTGTTCGCGGCGGCCAGCACTGCGGAGCCGGCGGTGAAGAGGGCACTGGCCAGGAGGATGGCGGCGCGGCGGCCGAAGACGCCGTTGAGGGCCCCGCCGGCCAGCGCCGAGACGGCGGCCGCCCCCACCGTGCTGGACACGAGCAGCTCCTGCCAGAGCGCGTCCAGGCTGAGCTGCCGCTTGAGCAGCAGCATGGCCCCGGACACCACCCCGGTGTCATAGCCGAACAGGAAGCCGCCCAGCGCCGAGAAGACGGCCACCACGTACACGAAGGCGGGGGTCTCGTCCTGCTGGAACTGCCGCCGCGCCGCGCGCTCCAGGTCCCCGACGCCGCCGCCCGCGCCCGCGCTCTGCAGGCTGGCGCTCGACTCCGCGGCCGCCAGCAGGCTGCGCTCCCCGGCGCCGCTCGCCGCGTCCGGCTCCGGCTGCTTCCTGCGCCGCTCGCCCATCAGGCTGCTCAGGCTCCGCAGCGTGTACTCCACATTCTCGCTCGCCTTGCGGGACATAGGGCAGGGGCCCGGGGCTGCCCGGGGGATGAGGAGGCTCCGGGTCGGCGGTCTCGGAGGGCTGGACAGCCCGACCCGGCGGGAGCAACCGCCGCCGCCTTCCCGCTTGGGGCTCCCGCTCCGGCTGCCACCGCAGCGCCCGCCGTCACCGCCGCGACCGGGAGAAAGTTGCTGCCCGCTGCGCTCGGGCGCTGCGGAGTTGGAGCCTGGCGGGTCTCACTCCAGACGCACACCCCGCGCCTGCCTGCCGAGCTGGCGCTGCGGAGCGGACAGGAGGCGGGGCCGGGTGGTCACGTGCAGCCCGGCCGGCGGGGCGGGGCGCCCTCCCTAGGCGGGGCCAGGCACCACCCTCCCGGACCCTAAACCCCACCCTCCTGGTGGGTTGCGACTGCCAAAGCCATACTTACTCTTTTAGGGCGCAGGCACCTGGACATAATTAACCCAGGCTTCGCGGCTGCAGCTGGGAAGCAGGCCCGGGGGCGGAGGGGGGGGATGCCGCTAAGAGGCTGCCAGACCCGGGAAGCTACCCACAAGGATTGCACGGTTTGGAGGGTAGGAGGACAGTCAGTATACCAGCCTGTCCAGCCTCCTAACGTTCTGGGGATAGCCGGGGTTGAAAAGGGACTGGAAAAAAATATCCTGGTATGGTACACAGCAAATAGCCGTCCTTTTATAGTATTGTGACATTACTCAGTGTGTTCCTTCCCTGACATTAAATGAGCTTATTCTCGAGAAATTCATGACCCGTGTTCTCCCATTTCTATACTTTCTTGTCTCATTGCCAGTTCCTCTTGGAGTTATTCTTGCTTTAAAAGCATAGTACATCGGACTCTATGAGATCAGAGATAACATATCTCCCCAAAGGAATTTCAAACCTCCTCTTCTGGATCCCTGGTGTATAGAAGAAAATTCACATGTATGCATTCCACTCTTATATAACCAGGTTATTCCTACTGGTAGAAATAAAACCCTAGAATCTGCTTTGTGATTTGATTGGCGATCTCCCCTTGACTTCTCCGACAAGCCAAAAAAGAAGGATATCTTCCCTCCCGAAAAACCCTCACGATTACCCTCCATTTGAAGGAGCTATTTTAACAGTACCATTTGCTTGAAACAAAGCAGTTCGACCTCACTTGAGGCCAATTGTTTTAACTGTTGAGTTAATTACCAGATGTTGATTTGGGTTTTCTTTTCCTTTTCTCCTTTGATTCAAATACTCTAAAGAGAAAACTCGTCCCTCTGATGTACTTTCATTCCGACTGAGGGAACCAAGTGAAATACCATGGTATTCTATTCCAATTCCAGTGTTCTTTTATTACTCCTATTTGAACAAAGGTTTCTTAGCATGGGGCCTATTTTTCATACAGTCTTCCTTGTAGAGAAAAGGATTTTTGTCATCCCGTTTGCAATAAAAAGTTATATTGGCATTTCTCAAAATTGCTTTCATTTGGATTATCTGTCATGATTATCTCCATAATATGGTGCTTTTTGGAAACTAGGAAAAATGAATTAATGAGCTCAGAGGGCTTAACTCTTTAAACTTATTGTAAGACTTTAAAGCAAAGCTCTGCCATCATTCCCAGGGATCAGTTAAACAGAGACAGCCCTCAACTCTGTAGCAATGAACTCTGTAATATTCAGACTTCAGAAAAGATTCAGATGAGAGCGCGCCTTTTTCCTTGCCTGCTGTAGTAAAACTGCACCCCCTGGTGGTAAGCCGGTTGGCATGGCTCCTGAAGACAAGGTGTCCGGTGTCCCACATGAGCAGCAGCTGACTGTAAGTTTCTTCTTTTTGAGATGAAACAATCTTTTTTTAAACTCAGTTGTAAGAAACACCGTGGCTCTTGACCATCCCTTACAATAAATTCAGTTTTGGGGTCACAGAACACTACACTACCACTGAAAGTTGGGTAGTTTTGTATCAGACCATTGTATACCTGTGGTCACAATATATCTGAGAAATGTGATATCAAAACAGGCATCAGAGTCCAGCACTCTTCTTGGCCCTTAGGGGGAGCCAAGTTCAGTTTAGCACCAGAGAATGAGTCTAAAATGGAGTTTCCTGAAGCCTGTACAAGTTGCAGACTATGGTGAAATGAAAGGCCATAGGCTGAGAACCAAAAGGCACAAAGTATGGCTACTACTGTCTGTTTCATGGTAGAACATTCAGTTGACCACTTGATTAGTTTGTGCCTCATTTGTTCTCATTTGCAGAGCAGATAATGGGGATGTAACAACTATTCATTTAGTACAGTAAGTGTGAAAAGGTATTTTTGAAATATCATTAATTGCAACTTAAGAGTAAACTGTAAGCATCATTGTTTGTAAGATGAATTCTAAATCCCCAGTTTTAAGGACATTTGTTTTATAAACTTCAGAACGCACCATAGTAAAAGGAAAGAAGAAAGACAAGTTTTACTTCTAATGCTACACATTCTGAATATAGGGCAAAGACATTGGCAAGTAATACAACATACATATTTGTTGTTGGGCTGGGGATGTAGTTCAGTGCTAGAGTGATTGCCTAGCATGTACAAGGTCCTGGGTTTGATCCCTAGAACTACACACAAAAAAATTGTTGGTTTTGTCATTGGGAAAGAATGGAGGAACTGGTAGCAGAATGTTTTCTTTATGCTTACTGGATGTTTATTTTTGATTCCATGAATAATGCATCCTAGGGCTGGAGATGTAACTCAGTGGTAGAGCACTCGCCTGTTGTGAGCAAGACGTGGGTTTCATCCCCAGTGCTGACAAAAAGAGAGAGGAAGCTAAGGTTGTAGCTCAGTGGTAAAGCGCTTGCCCTATATGCGTGAGGCCCTGAGTTTGATCCTCAGCAACGCATAAAAATAAATAAATAGAAATAAAGATATTGTGTCCATCTACAATTAAAGTAAGTAAGTGTGAAAAGGTATTTTTTGAAATATCATTAATTGCAACTTAAGAGTATATTTAAAAAGAAAGAGAAATGTCTTCTTGTCATAAAGCAGTCTAATAATAAAGATAACATAAAAGATCCTTCTGAATTCCCTTTCCTACTTCAACTTTGAAATACATCTTTCTAAAACTCTCTCTGCATTTACCAGCATATGTATATATGTACACAGTAAAACAGGTTATAAGAGGTGCAAAACACAAATCAAACTGGCTTAAGGCAAAATAGCTGGGGAGAGGGAGGATTTATTGGCTTTTGTTTCTGAAAAGTCTACATTAAGCTGGCTTCAAGTGCGGGTGGATACAGGACTTAAGGATATCAACAAGCCATCATCCGTCATTCCACTCTGCATCTCTCTGCTTAGCTACATTCTCAAATTTCATGTGGTGCCCAAGTAGCTATAGCAAGCTCCAAGCTCTATATCCTTTTGCACTTACGTCTGAGAGGATGGGAAAAGAGCTTCTTTCTCTGAAGCCCTCACAAAATTCTTCTTGTATCTAATTGAATCTTGCAATTACATGCCCATTCCTGACCTAATTACTGTGACTGGGAGATTACAGTTTGATAAGGATAGGGTTAGAGCCAATCAAAGCCCACATCTTGAGTTTGAGCAGAGGTAAATCATATAGCCAAGATTGTAGATGGTCTTCCCATCAGAAATTTGGTGTAAAGTTTTGCCAGTGATGGGCAAATTAATGCTGTCAGTAAAACAGATTTAAGTTGCCACAGGTACCTGGTAAAGAAATATGGCATGAAATCCAAGCAAAGCATTTCAAGGAGGGACTGGCTAAGAGATCAATGTATTGCCCATAGATAGAAAAGACTCAATGCATAAGAAATCATTGAATTTGACCACTAGAAATTCAGTGAGTGGTAACTACTGAGACTAGAACAATGTTTTGATGACATCATCTTCAGGAAACCTAGTAATGTCAGAATTCAACTATTGCTCATTTATACTTTCTGTACTTAAACTAGGCATTCGTAGTAATAGAATAAATATCAATAGGTGTAAAAGTAAAGCAGGGCTCTCATGATGTGTAAAAGTGCTTAGGTATTTAATACTTCCCCCTAAGACTTGCCTTCTCTTATGATTTGGATATGTGGTGTCCCCCCAAAACTCCTGTATTAATGCAGGAATATATTGAGGTAAAATTATGCAATTATGAGAGCTATAACCTAATCAGTCATCCTAATTTGAATGGACTTACTGGGTGGTAATTTGGCAGCAGGTGGGCACTACTGGAGGCTGCCCTGAGGGGGCATAGATTCCCTGTGGCCCTTTCCCTCTTCCTCTCTCTGCTTTCCAGGCTGCCTTAGCAGACTAGTAGTGCTCCTCTGCCACACCCTTACACCCTTCTGCCAGGATGCTATCTATGCCTCGTCTTGGGCCAGGAGCAATGGAGTCAGTCAACCATAGACTGAAACCATAAGCCAAAATAGACTTTTCCTCTTCTAAGTTTGCTTGTCTGGTATCTTGGTCACAAGGGTGAAAAGCTAACACATCTTTCTTTGATTTGCTCTGAGGAGAAAGAAGAAAGATATGGAAGGAGGGAAACAGGAATAAAGGCAAAAGAAGAAAAGATGGTCAATAAACCCCAAAGGAAAATGCTCTGTCTAGATTTGCCACTACAGGAAGGCAAGGAGCAGGAAGCCTAAAATAGATGGGGCATGGATGACATTTTAAAGCATATTGATCCTGCCCATTAATAACCATGACCCAACCAGGAGTAGAACTTGTGACATATCATCATAAGATCTGCTCCTTTGGATAGGGAGGATTATGATGCATGTTCCCCCATCAGAAAATTATAAGATAGTCATTTCAATCAAGAGCAAATTAAAGGAAGGAGCTGGGACATACCTCAGTGGCAGAATACTCAACTAGTATGTATGAGAACCTGGATTCTATCCCCAGCAACAAAAAAGCAAATTAGTGGGAATAGAGAGTGTAAGCTTCGTTTTCTAAAAGTTTCTCTGAAAATATAATAAGAGAGAGAATAGCTTAAGGAGTTATCAGGATCAAGAGAAAGGGAGGGGGCGGGAGTTAGGCATGACTTGAATTTATTCAAGATGTGGAAGTGAAAAGGATTCAATTCAAGAGCCTGACTGATTCATAGCAAAGTCCCAAAGAAGACAAGGAGGATAAGAGCAAGAGCATAACAGGCAAAGCTAACCTAGCCATAAGGAGGAGGAGAGACACTATTTCCTCTGAGAAAAAGGGTAAGCAGAAAAGAAAAGTAGGAAAGAAGATGATGTTAGCAATAAGAATGGGGAAGGAGTTCTATTAACTGGAGAATAGTAGGTGTTTGGGGCTTAGGGGAGAACCTCCACCTAAGCAGAAA